TGTGCGTTCCAGACATGGGTGGCTTCTGGGAACAGAGCAGCAGAGATCTTGCCCTTCTTCCTAAGGCCACAAGCTCTGTGAGGAACTGTGCTCTGTGGAAACAATTTTTTTGGGCTGGTGCAGATCCTGCAGGTGGGCAGGAAGCAGGGGTGCTGCAGCACAGCTCCAGCGCTGCTGGCAATCCAGACTGTACCAGTAGGCAGGTATAAGGGGATCACTCAGAACTTAATGGTACTGGTGGGTGCGGGCAAGAAGCAGTGCAAACTGCATGTCAGAGGTTAGCATGTGTTTGCAGTAGAATGTGCTACATGGGTTAGCAGGTTGTCAAAAGTGATTGTATTTGCCTGTGTTAGCATGCTTCTGTAACATGAAGCCATTGTAAACAGAAAACTTAATTCCAACAGCAAGCAGGTGTTAGCAGTGTTAGTTGTATTTGCCTTGGGGAAAAAAAAAAAAAAAGAAGATAGATGCAGTTATCAGACGTGGGAGAAACTAGGTGGCGGGGAGCTTGCCAGAGTTGAACACATGAGTGGGAGCTGAGAATATGAAGTCTCCTTTGCAATGGAGCTGTAGCAAATCATTGTTTTGATGATAACTGATTGCATGATGTGCATTTGTTTAAATTTGCTTTTCTTCTCAGACTTGTTGGTCTAGATGGGAACACTTCCTTGTGAGAGCTTTGTTAAAAAAAGCAATCAAAATCCTTGAGAACCCTTCTGGCCTTGACAAACTGCAATGTGAATATCCCACCTTTTTCTAGTAGGCGAAACTTCACAGCTTGGATTTTCAGGTAATTCAGGTATTTGTGGCTGTGGATTACTTCTTGCTATTCATTTCATTTCAACTGCAAAGTTACAGCAGCCATATTTATAGGCACATGCTTTTAGTTGAGGTAGGAGGCAAAAGCAGATGTGACTTTTTAATTTTTATTTTTTTTTAAAGCAAATAGAAGTGCTATTAAGAAAAGGCAGACATGGATCTGCATAGCCCACCTGGAAGGAAATAGCTTACTCATACAGAAAATCTGAAAAAGTACTGCAAGCATGAGAATGAAACACCATGAGAAAATTGTACATGCTCAAAAGATACCTACAAAGCAAAGATGAGTTTTCTGTCCTCCATTCATTTGACAGAACCTGGGAGCATGGCTGGAGATGCCCCTGCCCTCTGGCAGGCCTCTGCCAACCTTCTTTGTGCCTGAGGGGTTGAACAGGTGCAAAGGGCAATGGCAAAACAGTAGAGGGGCCAGAACTTCTGTTTGATGAAGATCTTTGCAGCAGCGCAGAATTGCAGAGGGAGAATAAGACTGATGAAAAGGCAGAGCAATCTCTTAGCCCAAAGCATGGGGAAGTGTACAGAGGATAGCAGTGGAAAGCATTCCCTTTCCTGTTTGCCAAGTAATAAAGCCTTTCTAGGCGACTGTCAGGGTGCCAGAGCGTACTGTGCTCCTGTTCTTTACAGGTGCTTTGAGAACATTTTCTTTCAGCCTTAGGTCTCTGCTTTTTTTTCTTTTTTTTTTGGCAAGGCCCATTCCAAAGAACTAAGCCCAATTTTCAAGAGTTGTACCTCTGTTTCAGCAGCTTTCTTTTATCAAGTCATGATTCTTATGACAAAAGAAAAGATTTGAGTTCCTGTGCAAGATTTTGCCTTGTTAAGAGGTATGTATGTGCACAGCCAGAATTTTACAGCAACACACAGTGGTGACCTTTGCAAAACAAGCTGATGTTTATTTGTCAACCTGCATGCAGCAGTTCTGTTCTTGGGCCAGAATGTATAAAAAAACTTTTTAGTTTACTGGAATTACCTGCCTGTCTGCTTTGGAGCAGTTGAATTCTCTGCTAGACACCTGTTTCGTGTCTTTTCTCCTTTCATATATTCTTCCTGTAAGTAGGTAGTAGGAAGTAGTAATTGAGCAGCTGCACATTGAGCTGATGTCTTGACTGTGTCAGCCTAGACCTCCTCTAGCAAGTGGTCCTAGTGCTGGTTTTGTCCTTTTTCCTGGGGCAACAATTTTAACCTTTTCACTGTGTACTTGTGCACGTAGAGTCATACGTACATTAATGAATGTAATTTAGAAATGTCCACATTCAGCATAGTTATGTGTCAGCATTTGCCTACTGTTAAGTTCCATCTGGACAGTGAAGACTGTAGTTAATGGCATTTATTGTCTTTTTGTATGATAAGTTACAATTAGTAGGATTTAGCTAAGCATCTAGTTGATAATCTCAATTGCAGAGAGACTCCAGATCCTGCAGTCTGACTTCAGAATGGTTTTGATATGCTGCAGTGTTCCCAAGAAAGTATGCGATGTTCCTCATTTGAAAAGAATCTTTAGGAAAAGAGGAGAAATAAAGAAGACCCAAGGAGGATCGTGTCTGTAGTCTAGTGGTTATTGCCCAATGAGTACATTAAGTGCAGAATCTAGGGGAAAGACTGCAACGACCACTGGCCTTACAGGAGGTGGGTGTGTGGGCAGGAAGGGGCTTGTGTAGTCAGGGAACAGGCCAGGGAAGGATGGTCATGGAGTTGTTTCTTTTCTGAAGTTGGTATGAGGGAGTGGAATTTGGTCTGTAAAACCAAAAAATAAAAAAATCTGTCTCACACAAAAGTGGGTAAATTCTCCTTGTTAACAGAAATTAATTTGTCGGCCAGGACATGAATTATTTCCATGTTGCAAATATGGGTCTCTTTATGTTCAGTTCTTCCAGTGCAAAGTTGTTCTCAGTAATTCTCCCGAAGGAGAGGTGTTTAAAAATAATTGCAGCATCGAAGGGATTTATGCTGTTACCTACAGGAAGAAACTGCAAACAGGAGACCTTCTGACTGTGCTGAAGAATTTGAAGGAGGTAGCTAATAAGAAGAGAAATTCCAAATAAAAGGAAATTTGTTCATAGCTTCATGTCAGTCTCTACTGTGCTTAAATAAGGAGAAACCCACAGAACTGACTCAACTGATGAATGAGACCGCTAATCTGACACTGCAGGGTTTTTTTGTATTGT